AAAACAAATTGTATTAAGATAATTTATTCATTACAAATTAATCTGTTTGTGAAAAAGATTGTCTTCCTTACAAACGGCGCTCGTAAGTGAACCAATTATTTAGTTTATAATGAATGTAACCGCTTCGCATCGCATCGCAAACAACTTAAATTGCAAAAGTTATAAATCAATGAGGACTTTACTTGTGTAAAGTCCCTTTTTTTTACCGGCTAATGAGTTGACGATTTAACACAGCATGAAAAACATTTTACAGGGCTTTGGCTAGGTCCAGGTCGGCGGGTCGCGCGGCCGTCGAATTCGCGTCGCGCAAAATAATGGGGGCGTTCGTTGTGCAACAAATCGACTGCTTTGGCCACGTTTAGCGTGGCCTGGGTCTGGTCTGGTGTGGCGGGGCGGGATAAAGCGGCGGGGTCCGAGATGTACTTGAGCCGCTGGAGACCGAACTGGAGGCTACCCTCGGCGAGTCCGCAGCTGTTGCCCGACACCCGACGTTCGAAACCGCACAATAGCACATCATTAATCTAGCGTGTTTCAAAAACAGCACTGATAAACTAAGTGTGCAACTGCGTAACACATGTTAGTTTGCAACTGAAAGTTAAACCTTGCAAGTGTGCAACTCCGTAGTTGTATACACTTGCAAGTGTTCAACTCAATAGGTGTGCACTTGCAAGTGTGCAACTCCGTAGTTATATGCACTTGCAAGTGTTCAACTCAGTAGGTGTGCACTTGCAAGTGTGCAACTCCGTAGTTGTATACACTTGCAAGTGCTCAACTCAGTAGGTGTGCACTGGCAAGTGTGCAAATCCTCATTTGAGCACTTCCTACACATTGAGCGTTCAATCTTAGGAAATGCTCAACTGAGGAGTTGCACACCCGCAAGTGCACTACTACGGAGTTCCACACTTGCAAGTATTCAACGTGCAGTTGCACACTTGTAAGTATTCGACTTGTGATTCAATACCTACAAGTGTTTAGCAGTTACACACTTAGTTTATCAGTGAGTAAAGAGTCTACCAATTTACTCACACGAGCGGCATCCGAGTCAATATTTTATTGCTTATCTTTTCCAGCGAAACCGGGGGGTATTAAAACAAAATGACGTTTTAGTCGTTTCCTCAAGGCAGCTGTCTTCCAATCCGAAGCCAAAGGAAAAAGAGGGTCGGGTGGGCGGGGCTCAGGGCAGGGCGGGCCCAAACAATGAGCCTCCAGCTCGCGTTTGCTTAACGGCTGAGCAATGCGAAATTAGGCAACGGAACATCGCGCATTTAGGACTTCTGGCAGAGGGGGGGAGGGGATAGTGAGCAGGGCGGCGGGTACGCGAGTGAGGAGAGACCGAGGCGGTGTTTCACAACCGACCGAGCGAGATGTGCAAAAACCAAACCTGACGATAATTATGGAAAATTTTAGAAAGAGAAAAAGAAAATG